ACTATTTTGAATAATGATTATGATGATGATTCTGAGTTTGATTATTCTGATAATGAACTTGATGAGCTAACCGTGTCAAAGAGGGCACAAATACTCGAAGCATTGCCTATGCAGGTGGAAGGTGATGAAAAGGCTGGGTTTCCAAAGCAAATGGTTCCATCTCGGATCCAGCCTCCGGAATTGGAACTAAAACCATTGCCTAGTCACCTTAAGTATGCATATCTGGGGGAAAACTCCACTTTACCTGTGATTGTTTCTACTACACTGACTGATTCGCAGGAACAAGAGCTCTTGAGGGTCTTACGCCAGCACATACAAGCTTTAGGTTGGACAATTGCCGACATCAAAGGCATTAGTCCAGCATTTTGTATGCATAAGATCCTCTAGAGGAGGATTCTAAGCCCTCAATTCAGGCACAACGGAGACTGATAGACCGTTAGTTACACATGTTTTCACCCCTGTTCTTACACCGTTTGAGAGGTGGTTTCTCGTGTTTTAGGCCGATTTCACGCTAGGTTGTACTTGTTTGTGATATTTCAGGTCTTGGCAAGTGAATGAAGGTTTAGGAGCGAGTTCGGGGTCGATTGGGCGAAGTTTGGGCGCGAGGCAAGTCGCAAAGGAGGTCACACGGGCTGCCCTGATGTTCACACGGCCGTGTGAAGTAATGGCCAGGCCGTGCGAGTTTTGCCGAGAGCACACACGGGCAGAGCAGAGGATCGACACGGCCGTGCAAGTGGCCGGGTTGGCCGTGCCACATTCTGCGAGAGCAAACACGGGCAAGAGGGGATGTCCACACGGCCGTGCCATTCTGGCCGTGCAAAGAGCCTGGAATTCGAACTAAATGAAACGATGCGTTTTGACTCACACGGGCAACTGGGTGAGCTGCACGGCCGTGCCACCCTGGCCGTGTGAGTCGGGATTTCCTCCTTTTAAGCAGAATTTCAGCCACAATTCGGAAGGATTCGAGTTTTTGAGAGAGAGATCAGTTCCTAGAGAGAGAAAGTGACGAGCAAGAGTTCCCAAGTGCCCTAGATTGATCTTCAACACCATTGGAGGCCAGCTTGAGCTTGGGGAAGTGCCAGTCAACGTCCAGAAGCAGGAATCCATCCTTCGCAGTATGAATTCCGTGTCTGATTCTGCTTTTGCTTTCTTCTCCATGGAGTAGTTCTCCCATTCATCTGGGTATGGAGAACCCTAGATTTGTATGTTAGGCTTTGATTGTATGAACCCAAGTACTGATTCTGTGATTGATTATATTCGATTGAGGTTTTAATGATTGAATGACTTGAATCCTGATCAAATTCCTGTTGTTTCTGCTTTAACCTAGAATGAGAATATCTACCTAGGTTAATAGAGTATCCTTGATTGAAGGTAGGGAGTTGGTGACTTTAGTCGAGAAGCCAACTCACTATTCTGTACCGGGTTTACTTCGGTAGTGGAGGTTTTGTTCTTAGGGCCTCAATCTGTCGACTCCGGTGGAGGTTAGTCGCCCGCTAGAGAGTCAGATTGAGAGGGTCTGAAGACCTTTAGTCGAGACTTCAGGCTGTTTGAGAACCTTCCGCAGTATGACTATCATAGAAACTGAACTTGGTAATTACAATCCGGCTTAACTGCAGTCTAGGGGGAACCATATCCGGGTGACCTCTTTAACCTGAATACAACCAGTTTACTTGCTTTGTTTGTTTGGTAGTTTAGACTTGCACTCCAGTTTTAGTGCTAGATAACAAGAACTCACTGAGTAGTCAGCAAATCTAGGACCCGGGTTGATAATTAAACCTAAACCCGCTATACTACGCTTTAGGAAGTGGTTACACTTGGCCAATTCCTGGAGTGACAGTAGAGTCGAGTCAGAGACTAAACCCGCACATGAAAGAAGTAGTGCGAAAGGAGGTAATGAAGCTATTAGATGCAAGTATTATTTACCCTATCTCTGATAGTACTTGGGGTAGTCCTATGCATGTTGTCCCTAAAAAGGGAGGAATGACGGTAGTGAGAAACGATAAGGATGAGATGATATCTACCCGAACTGTTACGCGCTGGAGAGTATGTATAGATTATAGGAAGTTGAATGAGGCGACCCAAAACGATCACTTCCCTCTTCCTTTTATTGATCAAATGCTCGAACGGTTATCGGGCCATTCTCACTACTGCTTCTTAGATGGTTACTCCGGTTATTTTCATATCCCAGTAGCACCAGAGGATCAAGAGAAAACTGCTTTTACATGTCCTTTTGCTGTTTTTGCATATCGTAGAATGCCTTTTGGATTATGTAATGCACCAGCAACCTTTCAGCGTTGCATGATTGCCATCTTCTCTGACATGTTAGAATCAAGTCTTGAAGTTTTCATGGATGACTTCTCGACTTTTGGTACTAGCTTTGAACATTGCTTGTCTAACTTGTCTAGAGTTTTGTAGAGATGTGAAGAGACTAATCTAGTCTTGAACTGGAAAAAATGTCACTTCATGGTGACAGAAGGTATAGTGCTTGGTCATCGAATTTCGGCAAGGGGGATATAAGTTTATAAAGCTAAGATTGAAATCATTGAGAAACTTCCCCCTCCCAGCACAATAAAAGGAATTAGAAGTTTTCTAGGTCATGTCGGTTTTTACTGGAGATTTCTTAAAGACTTCTCAAAGATCACCAAGCCTTTATGTGATTTGTTGGCCAAAGATACTGCGTTTAACTTCTCTGATGATTGTTTGCAGGCCTTCAATCGACTTAAGAAGGAGTTTACCTCTGCTCCCATTATCACTGCACTCGACTGGACTTTGCCATTTGAAATTATGTGTGATGCTAGCGACTATGCAGTCGGGGCAGATTTGGGGCAGAGGAAGGAAGGTAAGTTGCATGCGGTGTACTATGCAAGTAAGCTTCTTAATGATGCAAAATTGAACTATTCCACTACTGAAAAAGAACTGCTTGCTGTGGTGTTTGCTTTTGATAAATTTCGATCTTATTTGATGGGATCGAAAACAGTTGTGTACACTGATCATGTAGCTATAAGGCACCTTCTTTCAAAGAAGGAGGCCAAACCGAGATTGCTTCGTTGGGTTCTTCTTTTGAAGGAATTCGATGTTGAAATTCGTGACAAGAAAGGTTCAGCTAATCTGGTAGCCGATCACCTTTCTAGACTTGAGCTTGAGGCAATTCCTAAGGACAAGGTTGAGACCAATGAGTCTTTTCCAGATGAGCAGCTTTATGCTCTCCTTGTCCAACATGCTCCCTGGTATGCAAACCTTGCGAACTATCTCGCCACAGGTAAGCTCCCTGATTTGTCTTATCAACAACGCAAGAAGTTGATCACTATTGACAAGAATTATATATGGGAAGACCCCTTCCTGTATAAGCATTGTGTTGATACCATGGTAAGACGATGTATTCCTGAATGTGAGGTAAAGTCGATGCTAAATTTCTGTCATAGTATGGTCGTAGGAGGTCACTTTGGACCTCATAGGACAGCAGCAAAGGTGTTACAATATGGATTTTATTGGCCTTCTCTATTTCGAGATGCCCGTGATTTTGTTGCTCAATGTGATAGTTGCCAAAGAACAGAGAACATATCTGCAAGGATGGAGATGTTGCAGACCTCGATTTTGGAGGTAGAGATGTTTGATGCATGGGGAGTGGATTTCATGGGGCCATTCCCATCGTCTTTCAACAACAAATATATCTTAGTCGCAGTCGACTATGTATCCATGTGGGTGGAGGCAGTGGCGTTGCCCACCAATGACTCAAAGACGGTGGTGAATTTCATGAGGAAGAACGTGTTCACCAGATTCGGAGTCCCTCGAGTTCTCATGAGTGACGAGGGCACACACTTCATGGGAAAGGAGTTGAACACGTTGTTGGCCAGATATGGGGTTAAGCATCGAGTGGCCACACCCTATCATCCACAAACTAGCGGGCAAGTGGAAGTTTCCAACAGAGAACTGAAACACATTCTGGGAGACTACAGTGAATTCAACAAGGAAAGATTGGGCAAGGAAGTTAGATGATGCACTCTGGGCATACCGGACTGCTTTCAAGACTCCTTTAGGCATGTCTCCTTACATATTGGTGTTTGGTAAAGTTTGCCACTTGCCCGTCGAGCTCGAGCATAAGGCGTATTGGGTTATCATGAAGCTGAATTTTGATCTACAAACTGCTAGAGAGAAGCGCCTATTGCAACTGAATGAGCTCGATGAGATTAGGCTTAATGCCTATGAAAATGCCCAGATTTATAAGGAGAAAACCAAGAAGTGGCACGATCACCACATACTGAGAAGGGAGTTCAAGGTGGGAGAGAAGGTATTACATTTCAACTCACGCCTTAAACTCTTCTCTGGAAAATTGAAGTCAAGGTGGTCTGGACGATTTACGGTGACCAAAGTGCACCCACATGGTGCAATCGAGATTCTTGGTGATCAATGGGCGTTTAAGGTGAATGGTCAGAGGCTCAAGCACTATATTGAAGGGATTTTCGTCCTGGAAATCTCAACCTATCATCCGGAATGAGTTATTTTACGTCAAGCTAGCGACGAAAAACAAACGCTTCTTGGGAGACAACCCAAGGTGAGTTTTTCTTTCAATTTTTTATGTTATAAAGTGTGTCTAGAGGCTCACCGCCAAATTTCAGCTCCAAAAGCTTTGAGGAAGGTATTGTTTGGTGTTTTGTAGAAGCACAGGCAGGCTGCGAAAGCACAGGGAGGCTGCAAATTCGCACAAGCAAACTGAAAATGGGAGGAATGACTGATCTGAAAAATTTTGAGAGGGAAGGGGGGACTGAAAGGGAGATTCTCCTGTAAAAAAAAAATAAAATAAAAGAGGACGACAGCAATTGAAAAAAAAAGAGAAAAAAAAAACGGAGTCGGGCTGCTCGCCCTTCCCCTTCCTCCCCTCCTTCCCTTCGACTTCCCAGCAAAAAAAGGACGAACCAGAGGCAGCACTCCGCCGTCGCGCCTCCTCTCCGCGACCTAGCCCCTCCCGCAGCTGCTCGTCGCAAGCCACCGCCGCCTCGTATATGCGCCGAGCTCTCAAACCTCGTCGCGGCCAGCCACTCGTGCGTCTCCAGCAACGCGACCAGCAGCAGCAGCTCCGACGGCGAGCTCTCGCGCCGGCCATCTACGGCGGTCGTCGCCGGATCCCAGCACCGCCATCACCTCCCCTCCATCATCTCCAAGCCCTATCTGCCTTCCCTAGGTCTGATTCACCAAGATTCTGCAGTTCATGAAGCAATTCGAAATTAGGGTTCTTCAAATTGGGGATTTTGCCTAATTTCGAATATGAGGTGTAATTGGAGTGTGATGATTGATTGAATGGTCCAATTGAAGTGGAACTACTGTCTAGATGGAAATTTGTAGAAGATTTTATGGGTGAATGAGCTGAATTCGACGTTGTAGTATACTTGGGGGGTTTTGATTGGAATTTGCAGCTTTAGGATTGGTTGAGTTGAGTTTATAGAATTGAAGATTTTATGATTTGGGTGCTATTGAAGTGAAAATTGGGAAGAAGAGTACAGACTTGTGCAAATTTGGTGATTCAAGGGCAGAGTAAAGGTTTAAGAAGTTTGTTTTCCCGTTTGCACTCTTGGTTGCAGGTATGGGACGTTGAAGATATATCCCTCCACCTCGGCAATTCAAGGTAACTGATCAAAGTGAAGATGGGAAGATTGTTTAGCGTTCGTGGATGATTGTGGACAGCCACAAGGTGATCGATAAAGACAACCCAATTCTAGAAGTCCCTCCACAATTTCAAGCGGTCAACATGCCCGCTCGATTTCACAGGGTGATCACCGGGCAGGTTGGACCCACGATGCGGTCCCGTACTATTGGGATGACTTCTCCAACTCCATCTCCACCACAGCAGCCTGCTCAAATGCTTCCTGAAGAATCTCCACTCCCAGATTCAACACCAGTTGTATCACCTGAGAGCAGGCCAGCAAAGAAGACTCGTCTCTAGCAACCGGGCTCATCTTCACGACCAGAGGAAGACTTCTTCTTCAGTACCTGCATCATCCATGACGCCACGTCGAACTACCCAAAGCTGCAAGCAGGAAGAAGGCTGATTCTTCTCTTCCAAAGGACGTCTCTAAGACGTTCGGTCGACCCCTCCAGCAACATAAAGAGGATTATGCAGATATGATGAAACGAGAGGTCATCCCTTCTCAGTTCATGGACTACGAAGCATTTCAGAAGACCGAGCGGGCTGAGGAGGTGATGGCATATTTTCGCAGGATGAATTGGGCAAGATTTCCAGAGCTGCACTTCCCCACCTATCCACACCTCACCAGAGAATTCTTGGCCACCTACAGCTTCGAGGATAGTGGGGTTGAGAGCAAGCTTCAGAGTACTTTGGCCGGGCAAACCAAGTCCCTCACTATGAGCCAAGTGAACCGAGCACTTTACTTCGATGGTGCAGCAGATGCAATTCCTGATGAAGCACAGGATTTGGGAGCATTTTGGAAGACAATTGTGGCAAATGGAAAGGAGTTTTATCCTAGTTCTTCGAGGAGAGCATCTATCCGAGATCCTGTGATCCCACTAGTACACGACTACTTGGCTCGAACTGTCTTGGGAAAGGGATCCAATGCCAGTGGTGTCTACACCACCGATCTCAGGTACATTCACAGTTTTGTCACTGGAGCACCATTGTGTGTTGGGTACATGGTGGGTAAGATGTTTGAAAATGAAGCAGTCAAAACATGTGAAGGTATTATGTGTGGGGGAATCATTACAGCCTTAGCTCGAGGTTACTGGGGGTTACCAGAGAACCCTACGGGGTTGGAGATAAGTGAGGGATCGACTCTGCTTGGGGAAACAACGTTAGGCAAATTGGGTTTTCTGAGGAGAGCAGGATGTCGTGGTGAATATCTATCCATCGCCAAATACAAGGAATGGGAGATTGAGAACAATCGAAAAGGGCAGCAAAGGCTGCTAGATCAACTTCTGCTTCAGCATCATCTCCAGCACCATCGGTAGCCACTCCGACAACAGCTCCAGCTCCTACACCCGCACCTCTGGGTGCTTCCCCAGCACCAGTAGCAGGGCACTCTGCAACGAGTGTCAGCCAGAGCCAGCAGTCACATTCACCTCCAGTTCCGCATCCAGGAGTTACCCCACCAGTTGTACCAGCTTCACCATCATTTGGAGATGATCTCAGAGCCAGAATAGCTATCTTGGAAGCCAGAGACGCAGAGAAAGATAAAAAAATCAAGGAGCTTAGCCAGCGTCTAGATGAGAAGTTCAACACTTCTTCAGCGACCCCTCCTTCGTAGGAGCTTGTCCCGAGGTTCTTTTTTCTTTTCTTTTCTTCTTTTCTTTGTGAATACTTCTCGTAGTGGATGATGGTCTGTAATAATGTTAGCTAGGTGAACCTGTTGGTGTGTCGTGTGCAGTAGCAGACATTGTGGACAATGTCCATCCTGAGTGTGGGGCGGATGGTTTGTGTTCTTGTCGTGTTTTATGTTTAGGTGTCAAGTCTTAGTTTTCCACAGTGTTTCGTCATGTGTATATAAAAAAAATTGCCATTAGGTTCAGCACAGCCAAACTGCATGCAGTTTGCCTGTGTTGGTGCATTCTGCCTGTGCAAAGCTAATGGCTAAAAACACCTAAAAATCAGAAAAATTTAAAACAAAACCTTGTACTCTTGTGGTAACATGATATAAATGACCGTGATGCGTGTGAAATGAGTTTGTGCTTGAATGAAATCATCAAAATCACCCCACTAGTGTTGAATTGCAAAGTTCTTCAGCTTAATGTTTTGACTGACTTGATATGCTTTGAATTAGCAATCTCTTTTAGCAACACTCTATTTTGTGAGGATAGTGTAACGACTTTTGGTGAAGTAGTTAGGTGGAGAACATTGACCACTCGACATGTTTGGATACCATGCTTACTTGCATCTATTGTGAGTTGCTGACTTTGCAATGAGGCTCTCTGTTTTGAATGTTTTAGATTGGGTGAATTGTATCTTTATAAAAGAAAACACTACCTGACAAGTAAAATATAAGAAAGTTGCCATAACAATTAAAGTGTGGGTAAAATACCAAAATCGTGTGAGGCAATCACTCATTTCACATGGGGATTAGGAAAGATTCAATTGAGAATTGGTTCGCGACCGTACGATGTTGCTCATCAAGTACGATCCCAGTTGAGGGAAGTGCCATTAGAGGATATGCAGTGACCCTCCACACGGACCGAGGAAAAGGAGTTAAAAGAAGCTCTTATGCGAGTGCTAAGAAGCAGAAATTGCTCTTGCTCGGTCACCGGTAGTAAGAAACAAATCCCACTTGTACTAAATACGACTACTCGGCAAGCAAAATCTGAAAGAGAGAAAGACTCTCCTTGTCAGAAAAGGTAGTGATGTGCTTAAAGTTAAAATCATATTTGCGAAAGGCTTCCCCCGTTTGTTTTTAGACTCATGCTTAGTTAATCTCTTATGATTGGTGTGAGTAAGCCAGATTGTCCTCACGAGATATGCACCTCACTGATGTGGTTAGATTCTCCTAATAATTGTTGCACCATAAGTTGTTCACCCACTACCCACTACCGACGATCGGAATTGAGTGTTGCTATTTGAGTTTTTGGTGGATTTGAGTCAGTCATTGGTAATGGTTGCAAAGAGCTTGAGTGTGGGGTGAAAGGGTATGATCAATAAAGCACAGTTCATCCATTGAGAAAGAAACTACTGATTACAAGTTTACAACAAGAGTAGAAGGAAAATTTTGTTTTGTTTTGAGTGGTGTGTCTTTGTTATGGATGGTTATGTTTTTGTGTTGTTTGAGTCGTTGCTTAGGGACAAGCAACAATTGAATGTGGGGTTGTGATAATCGGCTTCAATATATCTGATTCTTGAACTTTATGTGATTATCCCATAGTATGTTTAAGCCGATTGGTGCTATTTTAGGGCTCGCTAACCCGGGAATGGTTGAAAAACCATTACTGCCTAGTGCCATGAGTTTGATGTATTACAGGTGAAGAAAACACGAAAAGGAAGAATTTGCACATGCAAACAATTCTCTGGTGGAATAACAAGTGGGCCTGGAGAGAGTACCTCGCAAGGAATCAAGAAGTGGGCTGGAGTGGGCCGGAAGTGACCATACTTCCCTGGAGAAATGCGGCCGAACTTAATGAAGTGAGGAGGGGGATTATTTTTGGGCCAGACCTATTACTGGTGGAGCGGGCGGCCTTGAAGAGGGAACTGGAGGGAATTCTTTGGGGGGCATCTAAAAATTGGGCTGGCAGCGGAACAGAAGGGGGGAATTCTTTTGGAGAAAAAAGCAGAGGGCGTACCGCAGGGCTTCATCTTCGTTCGGCGATTGGTGATCAGTTCTCCAGGGCGGCTTGAGCTGAGTTCAACGAGAGCGATTAATTTGGTTGGATTTTCTAGACCGAACTAGTTTTTTATTGTTGATTTAGAACATGATTATCAAAACCATATCGATTTATCTCAGTTTCATCATGAACTAAACCCCGATTTCTGGGGGAAACACCATAGGATGCAGCTATTTCTGGATTTGATGGATTAATTTGTATTTCTTTTCTTCCAATCTCTATTGACTCGCCACCAATACATTGATTTTTTGTTAATTAGGTTATTAGCGACAGTGAAACCCTAATAACTAAACATATTTCATGTGACATAGTAACTTATCGAAGCGACAGTGGATTAAATAAGGTGCTATGTGGTCTTAAATAGGATATCGATATTCAGGCTAAATAATTAAGTCATTGAGCTACGACAGTAGGATTTGATTTAATTGTTTAGTACGTAGTAATTCCCGACAGAGATAGCTAGCACAGTAGTGATATCCTGGCTGTAGAGATATGGATTAAATTAATTGGAATATGTGAATTAATTTGGATATGATAGGTAGCGAATCCCGGTGTTTCTCCTAGAGCTTTCTCCCATTGAATTTCTCCCGACAAGTTTACTTTGCTTAATTAGTTTAACTATTTTGCTATTAGTTAATAATCTCATAGATCAAACCATTTTTCACTTATAGTTTTATAAGGTTGTACCAGTCCCTGAGAGACGATACCCGGATTTCCGGTTTTACTACAAGATAGGAATTGGCATTACGCTTTTGCCCTATCAGCCATCAACTTTTTTTTGTTCCTTTATGTCTAGGGAGATTCACACCAGGAACAAGAAGGCGATGGAGTTCATAACCAAAGGTTAGAACGCGTTGAAGGAGGTGGATTGAGTCATAGACTACTGCGAGTTGAATGA